CTTGCCCAGGGTCACACAACTAGTGAGTGTTATGTGTCTGAGGCCGGGTTTGAACTCAGGTCTTCCTGAATCCAGTGCCGGTGCTCTATCCACTGCGCCACCTAGCTGCCCCTCCACAGCTGTTCAGAAAGGTTCCTCTTTGTCCCATACTTAGCAGGACACAACTAGTTACATAATGTCTCTGCATGCTCTAGATTGGGGAGGGAAACAAGGCCCTTCTGTTACATGTCCATCATGATGCTTTTCATTCTGGAAGTAGCTCCCCACCCCCACTCCCAGTCTTCCACATAGACACTATATTAACTGAGCGTGCTGCTCATGCTTCCTAGTCCATCATTACACATGTTCAAAATTTCATCCTTCATTGCTCCAAAACCCCTTCCTGGGCTCTGTGGAGTTTGAGGGCATGGTACTCTACCTATTCTGTCTCTGAACCCTTTGAAATCTTCTTTCCCATAATCTAGTGTGCATATCAGACTATGCGATGCTTTCTTTTCTTCTCAGATGGAGTGATGGCCCCACAGGGTTCCCATCATTTCTTTTAGCAACTTATTTTCCCATGTTGGTGAGAATCGGCTCCAGAATAGCATTTCCTCTTGTCATTTCTTCTGCTTTTGAAGGATGAAATAAACATTAAGACAAGCCAATAAATTATCAGCTGATACTTCTTATAGTTTTTAACAGGGAAAATACCCCAGAAGAGGCATAGGTAATTGAAGTCCCTGGTCACTATCACATCACATTTCTGATCTATTTCCCAAAATCGTCGTTGATTCTTTCTTTTTTGTCCAAGTGGTCTTCAGTATATTTTTTAAAAATTATTGATACATTTTATTTTTACATAAATCAATTCTCAATAATACCATCCTTCCATAATATGCATCCATAGCAAGTAATTATGATTGATGACACATCACTTTCTACTCTTATAGTTTATCATTCCTTAAAAGAAGGGAAATGTCTTTTAATCTCAGTAATCTGAAACTAATATTTATTATTTTATTTGACCAGAATTCTGTAGCCTTTTAGTGTTGTATTCAGTTATATTTATGTGGTCATTGTGTATAAGGGCAGCTAGGTGGTACAGTGGATAGAGCACCAGGCCTAGGGTCAGGAAGACTTATCTTTGTGAGTTCAAATCTAGCCTCAGATACTTACTAACCATGTGACTCTAGGCAAGTCACTCAATTCTGTTTGCCTCAGTTTCCTCACCTGTAAAATGAACTGGAGAAAGAAATGGCAAACCACGTCAGTATCTTTGCCAAGAAAACCCTAGATGGGGTCATGAAGAGTTGGACACAGCTAAAAAACAACAGTTGTTATGTATGTTGTTTTTGTGGTTCTGCTGTCTTTATTCTGCAACAGTTCAAAGGTTTCTTCCAATGTTTCCTTTCACATCTGTCATTCCATATGGTACAATTGTATTTTATTGCATCATATACCACCATTTGTTTAGCAACTCCCAATTACTGGGCATATAATTTGCTTCCTCCTTTATGCTATTACAAATGCTGTTGCTGTAAATATTTTGAGACATGTAGAACTTGTCTTTCTGTCATTGGCCTCCTCAGTCCTTCAGAGATTGCTGAATCAAAATGTATGAACATTTTCATAACTTTTGCCCATACTTCCAAATTGTTTGCCAGACTGGTTGAACCAATTCACAACCAGCATAAAGTTAGTGTGGCTTTCTTCCCACAGCCCCTCCAACACTGATTATTCCCATATTTTATTATCTTTGCCAATTAGATGATGGGTAGGAAGTAATACCTCATACTTGTTTTCTTTTGCATTTCTCCAGTTGCTAGTGATTTGGAACATTTTTTCAAAGGTTGTGGATTATTTCTTTTTAAAACTCTTCACATCCTTTGATCCTTTTTATCTATTAGTCTTATAGACTTGTGTTAATTCTCCATAGCTTTTTTAGATCTCAGACTTTTATTGGAGATATTTGATGCACAGATTTTTTTCCCCAGTTCATAGTTCTTCTTTCTCTGGCTTCATTGTTTGTGCAGAAATTCTTTAATTTTATGTAATGAATATTGTGTATTTTGTCTTTTGTGATATCTTCTGTCCTTTATCTGCTACAAATTTTTCCCCTCCAACCACAGGTGTAGAATCTCCCATTTAATACTAATTTTTAGTGGTATAACTTTTAAATACTTAGATCATTTATCCATTTGGAATTATACTCTGAAATAAAATGTCAACCTAACCCTATTTTCCACCAAACTGCTTTTCAGTTTTCTCAACAGTTCTTATTGAATAAAGTGTCTTTTCCCCTGGGCAATTTGTTTTCTTGGGTTTGCTGAACAATGTATTATGTCCCATATTTACTTCTAGGTCTTATTTATCTTGTCTATTCTACGAATCTGCTTAATAATAATAGCTAACATTTATATGGTGCTGTCTTTCCTTCCAATGCCATATTTCAGTCAGGTCGTTGTTGTTTGGTCAGATTTGACTTTTCATGACTCCATTTGAGGTTTTCTTGGCAAAGATACTAGAGTGGTTTGCCCTTCCTTCTCCAGCTCATTTTACAGGAAGAAACTGAGGCAAACAGGGTTAAGTGACTTGCCCAGGGTCACATGACTAGTAAGTGTCTGAGGCCAGATTTGAACTCAGAAAGATGTGTCTTCTTGACTCCACACCCAGCAATCCATCTACTGTACCACCTAGCTGCCCAGTTTTAGTTAGGAGTTTCAACCTAAAAGTCTCAGTCAAAGAACTAGGAGGTCAGATTTTCTTGTATTAGGATATCTAAATTCACCCTGTTTGTTGCCCATATTTTTTACATTTTTATAAAGATATCTGAGGCCTTGGGCTTTATTGCTAGCTTCCACCTTGGACTTTGACTACTGTGAATTACTGGGTCACTCTACCACTGTTCATCCTATAGAATATTCCCTGTGGTATCTAGCTTGTTAAAGATTCATTTGAAGTTTTCTCCCTTTCTGTCCCTTTCAACTTAGAGCTGTCGTGATTACATTTTCAGATAAGTATATTTTGATTTCATTATTTTTGTTCCATTTGTTTCTAACTATATTACTACAACAATCTCGTTTCTTCTTCCACCCAGTAAACCATTCCTTTTAACAAAGATTAAAAATAAAGGAAGGAGAAAGAGAGACAGTTCAGCAAAAGCATCTAACACAATGATGTCTGAAAGTATATGCAGTATTCTAAAGTGCTTT